GAGTTTTTAGCTTCTGTTCAATTGGGAAGCTCAGATTGCCAAATCATCACCTGGCAGTCATGTGCAGATAGAGGTAGAGATGGTTGAGGGCAAGCAGAGATTTAGGAGGATTTTTTAGCTCTTAAGCCATGTATTGATGGCTTTCTAGAGGGATGCAAACCATTTATAGGGATTGATGCTTCATGTTTGTATGGCAAGTACAGAGGACAGTTGGCATCTGCAACTGGTATAGATTGGCACAATTGGTTGTATCACATTGCATATGCAATTTTTGACACTAAGAATGAGGACAATTGGACATGGTTCATGCAACAGCTGCACATAGCCATTGGTGATGTTCCAAACCTTGTTATTTGTACAGATGCTTGTAAAGGTTTGGAGAAGGCTATAGGAGTTGTATTCCCAAATGCTGAAAATAGGGAATGCATGAGACACCTGTACCAGAATTTCATGAAGCACTACATAGGTGATGTTTTCACTGATCACCTATACCCAGTAGCTAGGAGCTATACAAAAGGAATGTTCAAATGGCACATGAAGAAAATATTTGATTTTGCACCTGGAACAATTGAGTATCTTGACACGCACCATAGTAGGTTATGGTACAGGAGTTCTTTTCTGAAAACAGCAAGTGTGATGCCTTGACTAATAATGTGTCAGAGAGTTTTAATGCACAAGTGAAGAAATTCAAGGGTCTATTGCTGCATGAACTGGTAGACAAGTTGTGGGAGTTGATAATGGAGAAGAGATACTTGAGGAAGAAACTGGCTAGACAGTGGCATGACATGATTCTCCCTAATGTTATTAAGGAACTTAATCTGATTAGCAATCACTTGACGGTCCTCAAAGTATCTGTAAGTGATGATGACATTGCTGAAGTTACCATTGTGGACCAATGGAACAACCAAAAGCGCGAAACAGTAGACCTACAAAATCACATTGTTCTTGCAGGGAGTGGCAAGTCACCGGAAAGCCTTATAGACATGCTTTGGCCTAGATATTGTCCAATAGAGGGATGGAAATAGAAGATTATGTGCATGAGTACTACTCAGTGGCTAAATTCAAGAAAGCTTATGAGGCAAGAGTTGAACATATACCTGATAGATCCCAGTGGCCTGAAGTTGATCTTGGGTTCACAGTGCACCAACCATTATTGGGTAGAGGACCAGGGAGGCCAAAGGTGCAAAGGATTAGATGATGCATGGAGAAAAGGGCTACCAAGAAAAAGGTGAGATGCAAAAGATGTGGAGGACTTGGCCACTTCTAAAAAAGCTGTAAAGAGCCAGAGGTTGGTCAAGATGGTGAAAGAGGTCCATGTAGGAACCATCTTTGCAGAAAGAGGACCATAGAAGATGATGCAGGTACCTCACAACCACAGGTGAACAAAAAGAAGAAAAAGAAGACAACCACAGCCAAGAAAAAAACACCTGTGAAGAAGAAGCTGAAAAGGGCAAAGGCAAACCCACCTCCCACTGCTGTGACTAGTATCACAAAGCTTGTTTTCGATCCATAGTCTACTTGACAAGGCTCAAAATGTTCTCTGATGCTTTTGGCAAAAAAAAAAACTTGTAATGTCATGTAATGCTTTTGGGCACAAAAACATCTCTGCGCCTCTGATCATTTTGGGCACATGAACTTGTAAGGGTACCCAACTTGTAATGGTAGTCTATGCTGTTATTAGTCTTTATGCGGCCATTAATCTACATTTAGTGGATAATTATGCAATATGCATTCTTTATAAATGTTTTCATTTATATTTGAAATTGATTTAAGACAACTTCTGGTGAATATTCTACATTACCACAGGACTTTTATATCAAAGGTCTGTCATGTGTGATGTGGATCACGTCCTCTACGAGTTTCTTTGCACATGCCTCATTATTCTCTATTTTTTTTTGGGGAAAAAAGTCTACATAGCCCCTCAAACTATTCATGGTGGAGTACTTCACCCCCCAAACTATAAAATCGGATTTTCTACCCCTGAACTTTCTAAAACCGGTCAAATATTGGGAGGTTATTTGACCGGTTTTGGAAAGTTCAAGGGGTAGAAAATCCGTTTTATAGTTTGAGGGTGAAGTAGTCCACCCTAAATAGTTGGGGATTATGTAGACTTTTCCCATATTTTTTTTGACAGCCAAAGAAAGCCGAGGATAAGCCCCAGGCCTAGCGACCAAGTCAGAGTTTTCTATTTGATAGCATGGTTAACTTTGGACATTTGTACACCCACAAATGTGGGGTAAAAAATTCTCTGACCGCTACCACTTAGAATTGTGCGTTACCTGTTGTTTGAAGGCCAGGTCTGGTTCAATTTTTGTTTCCCACATTGAGGTATGCTTTCAGTTGGTGCTCTGTACTTGTATATCATTTTTAGTTACAAAGCGCTCATAAGCTTCATCAAGCATCTCCTCAAGCTGGGCATCATACCTGATGTGAACAAATGATTACTTACAAACTTTCGACGTTAGAGTTTTCTTTTTCGAAATATAAGGATATTTAATCACTTAATTCTGTGTTCCGATGGTGTGGATGTTCACAAAATTACCTCTGCTGTTCCTCGTCAGAATCCATTTCCTCATCAGAGTCATCACGAGCTTGAGTATCCTCATTCTCACTGTCTCCAATTTCATGTTCCACATCAAGCTCTGATGATTCAACATCAAGCTCTGCTGATTCAACAGCTTCAAGTTCATTTCCACCCTAAAAAAATGGAAAATGAATATAAAAACTTATGAATTAGATGATCATGAACCAGCATGCTCTTTTAGATGCTTTTCCAAGAACAAACCTCAGGTAAAGATAGAACATACACAGCTCATTAGAAGGTTACTTTGCAGAAATCCAAATAGAGTGAGTCAAATTTGTTGGTCTGTTTTAGCAAAAATGGAGGCTGCTGTATTTACAAATTATTGCATGCAGGAACTCAAGAGAGGAAAATGAATATTGCTGTTTACTTCTTTAAGTGTAACAAATGGGGGAAAACCAAGTTTCATGTAAAACTAAAGCTCTTCCAGTGAGCTATTAGTATAAATTCTGAGGACAGGTAATGCCACTAAGTAAAAGATAGCACATAACATGACCACAGAAACAAGCATGATACCTTGATAACACTAAAATAAAACAAGTTAGGATCTCCATAATCATCTCCTGTAGCATCAATCTGCATTCCTGTGGCCTTGCGTGCTTTATCCTGGAATGAAGAGACCCATATGTCAGCATAAATCTCAAATCAGCATCGTATTGCAAAAATTGTATATGTATTTCATAATACCTTTGCCCGACGCTTTGACAAATGCTTTTTCTCTCTTTTTTTTCTTTCTATCAATGACACTGGTCAATTCTTCCATTTCCTGTTGAAGTACATCATCATCTGTGACCTTTGTGTTCTCCACAGCATCATTGACCTTTGGGGTGACTTCTGAAGACGCTGACAGTGCTTTTCCTAAGCGAATTCGCCATCTTTCGCCATCTAACATGGTCATGCAATAGATATAAGATTTATGTCCTCTGCACACTTCTACTTATAGACATGTTTGGGTTATCACAACTATTTAAATGAACAGAGATAAACCATATGGGAAAATAGAATGGCAGATAAGGTACTCACTTCAAGATATGCTTGAAACTATTCTTATCCAACGGAAGTAAGTGCTCACAGATTTTTTTTTTTATCTGGCACAAACCAAATAATCAGCCGTAAGTACCTAGTATACCAGAAGAGATGGAAAGATAAGCTGTGCAGTATGCTTAGCAAAGGCATCAGTTCCTTACATCATCTGTTGTAAGCTCATGATTCTTTATGGGTAGGGATTCTGGATTACCAAATGAAATTGCATTGTAAGAGCCCAAAAATCCAGTGGTGCCTGGGCCTCAGACCATATAAAAGTCTGATGCCAAACCGACTTTCCGCAATGTCGTGTTCCCTTCTTCATACCTACATACAGTACAAGTTATTGATATCAGTGTATAACAATCTATTGTGCCATATTGTTCACAAAAGAGGGCTTCGTGTAAAACTTAAAGCTACAACTTTTACAGGTAGATTCCACCAAAGTTTTTCAACATAGAAAGAACCACATATGCCTTTTTAACAAAAAAAAAGGCAGCTCCCGGACTGTTAAGGAAAAGGGCTGTGATAGGCTCGGTGAGCCAACATAAACACCTACCCACTCTTATGAAAATAAAAACAGAGAAAAAATTATAGCCTTAAGTGCAGTGAGACAGAATAAACACCCACCCACTCTTATGAACATAAACACTCTTATGGCGTGTCAGTTCAGCTAGCTCATAGGAATTCATGTCAGCACTTTTCTGATGTGGAAGAGAGATGATGGAAAAGAGAAGAGACTAGTACTATCTCTTATCTCAACACCTATCTCGCTCGGGAAACAAGGTTGTTTGTGGGCCTACTCATAAAGAATGAGAGAGGGAGGAGAGAAGATGTAGAATAAAAAATCATTTACACGTGGGGGTCACGTAATGGGGTGGCAATGACATGTATAAGCTAGCTGTTGTCTCATACCGTGAGGACGCCCTTAGCGATGCACAATACATGAACCCGAGTACTGGTGTTTTTGTTGAACAAATTCTACAAACTGTTAATTCTTGTTCATTGCTTACCAAAGGGCAGAAAAGCACAAAGTTTTTTCTGGCTCAAACGAGAAATGCCTAACTGATTATGTGACTTATTCCGAATTGGTGAGAACAAACATACCAATTGCTTACACGAAGTAACAGAGCAACTGGTAAACTTTGACAATACCAAATCTACAGGTTGGATACGGCCCAACCAGCCCAACAAGGTGCCCCCTGCCCCGCCCCCGCTAAATGTTTCCCGCCATTTCGTCCCTCCATTTCCCGCCACCCCGCCTCGCTCTGCTCCCCAGATCCCTCGCCCCCTTTCCCTCTCCGCTCCCCCACGCCACCTGGTCCTGGTCCCCGGCTCGCCGACCCCCGCTCACCGATTGCCCTCGGCTGTGCAGCGAGCAAGCAGCGGCGAAGCGATGGAGGAGGAGATCCGAGCGGAGTTCCAGAATAGCGGCTTCTCCATCGGGGGAGCCAGCCCCGAGCACGCCGCCCAGATCCTCTCCACGCGTAAGTACAAGCGTCCCCACCTCCCCCCTTGCCCTTACCTGGTTCTAAGCTGGCGTTGATTTATGTTTATATGCGTGTGGGTCTGCTTGCAGTGCTGACCTACTGCATCAACTACAAGATGAGCCCCGCGGACCTCGTCTCCAACTGGGAGGTCTATTACCTCAACAGGTCAGCTCATCCCAGATAAGAATGTTCCGAATAACAATATTGTAGCATCTTTTGCAGCTTAGATTAGTGTAGTCTTAGTGACTGTAGGTCGTTTGAGTGCTCTGCTGAAAGGGCGTCTGCTTTCTATGAAATTTGATGATAAACATCTCAACACCAATGGTAGCATCTTTTGCTGTCGAATTAAGCATGCCATCTGTATGGCTGTGCTGATTATTATGGATAAGATGCACTTGGCTCAATGTTTATTTTTTTTGGCTGGAGCATAAACAACCACTTTCTATTAACTATGATCAAACTTTGTTTGATGTCTTGATGAGTCCTTAAATCCCATCAACGTTTAGGTATGACTAAAATCTTGCAGCTCATGTTCAATATTCTCCTCTCTGTATTAAGAGATGCCTCCATGATGATTATGATTCCGGGGTTCATATATTTCTTTTTTGTTCTTTTACATGATGCAGCTAAGGAAACTGAAAGAACTAATTTATGCAGGCAATTGGATGGCTTAAAGCTTGAAAGCTCGTATCTTGATGGTTTTCTGTCACATCTTCAGAATGAAGTTAAAGACAGGATAATAAAAGAAGAATCCAACCTTCACATTTACTCCAGTAACGATGTCGACATGTTAGTTCCACATATCAGATTCATTTACGTGCATGTTTGTCACAGAAGTACTTTTGTTTCTTATTTCACTGTCAAGAAAAAAAATATAAATATAATGTAGAAGTAACTGTTGCAGGCTCTTGAGCAATTCACATGCAGATGAAGTGGCGTTTCATGACACACCAGGCTCTAAACAGGAAAATCCACCTGAAGAGTCATCTAACTCTGAGTTAACTCCTCTGACAAGTGACAGACCATCATCCAGCAGAGTGGCCAAAACAAATGCTGATCGTATTACCCCTTTTGCAACACGAGTAAATAAATTTACCCAACAGTATGTTCTCAATGCTGATAATGCAGTTAGTGTGCCAAGTAAAAATGCTGAAATCACAGAAGATGAAGTAATTAGAAGAATTCAACCAAGTCAAAGATGTTCCTTACAAGTTCAGCGCTCACAGCCTGAACCAGGTTGCAGATTCATGTATGACAGAATGGAAGACAGAGTAAGGGCATTGCTAATTTGTTTTATTAATTGTCATAAGCATCTGCTCTTTGACTGCATCCCTTTTCCAGTTTAATTATTTGGAAGATCGGATACGAAAATCGGCAAGCTTGTTTTCTGCATCTGGGTTTTGTGGAGAACCGGCAGATGCTACCCTTGCTTCAGAGGTAATTGCACCACCTAGTTTTGTTCTTTTAACTACTTAACTCATCATCACCCCTTTTCTTGATAGGATATCCAATTATTTGCCCACTGCAGGAGAAAATGTTTGCAGTCGGTACAGTAGCTTGTGATGGTGAAGGTCATTTGAATGAAAAGTCTATCTTGCTACAGGGCAGGTGAGTGTGCTTGGACTCATTCATGTGATGATCTTTGTTTAGTCACCATTTTGTTATTTCTTTTGGCTAACTACATAAACATCTTTTTCAAGTGTTCAACACTCCAGGGGACAGCGTGTGCGCCTTGACTTGAAGGATCTTGATCACTTCTCTTTGTTTCCTGGGCAGGTAAGCACAGCCAGTTCTAATGCCATATACATTATCTACTGAGTTAAATTAACACAAATTTAAATAACAGGTGGTGGGTATCGAAGGCCACAATCCCAGTGGACACTGTTTTGTTGCATCAAAATTAATTGATTCCATACCAGTCTCTGTGGATGCTCAACTTCCTAGTGCTAAGAAACAAGCTATTGATAATGAAAGCAACCAAAATTCTGACGGTGGCACTCTGTCAAGAGCATTGTCATCGGTTAGTTCCTGTCTGTTTTTTATTCGAAATAATGCTGCATCAAACATATCTGTTAACGAACAATTAGTATATTTCGTCCAAGCTTAAACTGATATCAGTTCATTGTTCTATTTTAATTATGAATCAAATGCATGTTTATACTTTCTTCATTTATTGCATGGACATGCTCAATCAAAGGAGAGTAGGCCAATCATTAATAATTTAAATAATTACCATTTTACCTCATGTCTTTTACAGGTCATCGCGGCAGGTCCCTACACAACAACAGATAATCTGTTGTTTGAGCCACTGCAAGAACTTCTTTCATATGCTTGTCGTAAGCAGCCTCAGCTGCTCATATTGGTGAGTCCTCTCAATTCTGTACATGGGACAGCACATTGATGTTTGAAATGTTCTGCTACTGTACACATCAATTGTTCTTTGGCAGATGGGACCCTTCATTGACTCTGATCACCCTGACATAAAAAAAGGAACTGCTGACCAGAGCTTTCATGATATTTTCCATTTTGAAATTCTGAGAAAGGTAGGTAAATGCTGATTTCTGAAGGTGTAATGCTGGCACATTGCCAAATGCAATAGTTATTCATGCGTGTTATATTTTTTTGTTCAGATTCAAGACTTCACCCAGTATCTGGGGAACACTGTTCGTGTAATTCTCATTCCATCAGTGCTTGATGCTCACCATGACTTTGTTTTCCCTCAGGTTTGTAATTTTCCTTATTGTGATTCAGATCTGATTTAATAATTATAAACATGTTGCTGTATCATTACATATCAATTGATGTTTGCAAAGTTAGATGTAAATTTGCTGAGATAGTGCAACAAGTTTACTTCCAACGTACTAGGCTTTATAGTCTGGTAGTATGTGCAGATGAATTGTGTTATTGTTATTTAAGCCTTTTTTAATGTTCTCAGCACAAGCATCTCTAATGATATATCTGTACTGTCGCTACATGCAGCCTGCATTTGATTTGAATTTTCCAGAAGATATCACACATCAGGTATATGAGTTACTCTGTGAGATTGCTCTTGTGAGGTATTTGGTAATAATATTCCTTTGTTTTTAAAAGGTTTACATACATTATGCAGATTACTTGTCTGGCAAATCCATGTCTCTTCAGTTCTAACGAGGTACGCTATATTAATAGTTGTAATGAATAATGTAATGGTTGGAGCATGCAAAATATATATGGTTTTCCTTGTCTATTATCAAATAGGTACGCCTTTATTTTGGTTATTAAGTTATTTTTGTCATTGTCCTGCAAATTAAAATTGAGACATGGTCATTGAACTCAAAAGAATCTTTTTCTCCTTATTGTGATCTTAATATGCTCCTTATCTCTGCATTTTCTCTCTTGTTGCATTGTCTAGAAGAGTCCATTCAATGCTTAGGGATTACCAGGCCTAAAAGCTGCCACACTGTTCCTGTGTTTGCTCATGCGATATTCTCCAAATTTGTAACTTATTGGGAAATGTTTTTTTTTCTCGAACACGAAGGAGAGCTGCGTGCCATTATATTAAGAATGGAAATGGTTTTCTTAATACTTCTCATGCATATTATGGGCAAAGTTCATCTTATATGTTGTTAGAAATGTGTTGATAAGTGTAGTCTTACCCGAAAATATTTGTTTTCCTTCTTTCCAGATACGTTTGGGCTGTTGTACAGTGGACATTCTGAAACAACTCAGTGGTGAGGAAATTTCTCGCAAGCCACCTGTCGGAAAGCCTGGAGACAGGATTGGTAGACTTGCCTCACACATATTAAAGCAACAAAGGTGATTCCATTTGGCTTTTTCATGTTGTATCAGTTGGGACAGATTGTGTGCAGTTTATGAGTTCTGATGTAGCACTCTTCCTACAGTTACTATCCTCTATATCCTCCTGCTGCTGGTGTGCCATTAGACTTCTCACTTGCTAAGGAAGCACTGGAGATCTCATCAGCACCAGATGTTCTCCTTCTTCCTTCTGATCTTGCACCATTTGTGAAGGTAATAATAATAAGTTTTTATTACAGGCAGCACATTTATTGTAACTTCTAATTGATATTCATATATTCGAATTCTGCCCATCCGTGAGCTCATTGTTCAAAAGTCAGAACTGTATATTGACATGTCTGTTTATAAGTTACTTCCTTCTGAATGGAATGATGCTGAACAGCTATTATGTGCAGGTGCTTTCCCTTGGAGAAGGTAGCGACGACCAGAAACGGTTTATCTGTGTGAACCCTGGGAGGTTGGCAAAGGGTATTGGTGGGGGCACATTTGTGGAGCTTTACTACAATGAGGGCATCGACAAGACCAACGCCTCCATCATCCGCATATAGGATTACTGTCAGGGCATATCACCTAGCATGAAAAGAGGCTCTGATTTAGAGGTGGGACTTGGGCCGGGCTGGGTCTCACCTCTAAACTGTGTAACCCGCTGTGTAAACTGTAAAAAATTGTTTCCTCGGCAATAATATGTTGCTTAACCATCAAGACATGCATGGAAAATTATTCCAAATAAAAAAAATACTCTCTGTTCCAAATTGTAAGTTGTTTTGCCTTTTGTAGATACATAGCTTGTCTAGTTACATAGTAAAAGCTATGCACCTACAAAAGCTAGAACCATTTACAATTTGGAATGGAGGGAGTATAATTGAAGCTCTGATAGTACATTAACAACATGATCATCTCAACCTACAAGTGCCTCCTACCATCAGGGGGGGGGGAGGGGTTGTGGACAAAGATATGTTTATGGGAGTGTTTGCACAAGGATTTGGGACGAAGATGAATACAAGATTGAAGATTAGAAGGGGATCAAATTCTTGGACAAGCAAAGCATAAAAGTGGAGGGATCACGTGTATGAACTTTTTATATTTTATGAATTCGTGATGTGTATAACATATGATTGCTTGCATTGCGTAGCTCTTTTATTTCAAATGGTATGCTTGTGTGTGATGTTTGCTACACGTAAGTTTGATTAATGATATAATTCTAGTAGTATCTAAAGTTGTTTTTAAGTGGTATCTAGTTTTAGTTTCCAAGTGGTTTCTAGAGCTATATGCTTTTAATGTTGATCTCATGTGGTATCTAGTTTATTTGATCACTTATGTCCAGCTAACCGTAGTGATAAGGATGTTTTTCAAAGTGATATACGCGCTACAAAGGTACATCCATATCTCATGTACCTTAGCGACACTTGGTAGTAATAGTTCTTCCACAAATTCCATATATTATGCATGTGTGCGCATTTGAAGCCAAACCATTTAGGCAAGTATGTAAAGGGAGCTATCACTATTAAGTTGGATTTTGTGGTATAATCATGTCCTTCATGCTATGGATAAGTAGCACACGATTCATACCAAGTTATCAAATTACATAAGTGAAGTGCTAATTTGAAAATTTCAACTATTTCCACATCTTTGTTAGGTTGTCATCAAATACCAAAATGGAGAGATTGAAAGTCCCTAGTTTGATTTTGGTAATTAAACTAGTGGACTAATGCTTTACTTGAGTTGATAAGTGCAACACCTTAGGTGTTAGGAAAGGTCATTAACACTAAACATGCCATCAAGTATGCTGCACATGTCCAGGGTACGCTGCCCATGCCCGATACGAATTTAACATGCACCCCATTAACACCCTTTGAAACAATATAGCACGAATCAAAACGAATACAAGATATGTTGGCCCTGTTTCATTGTCTCGAAAAAATACAAAATACGGATGTTGTGTGTGAGAGAATTGTTGCTTGCAATGTGAGGAGAAGCAGCTTTTCTAAATGTATCCAGCAATGCTGTTGTTGTTGTTCTTGTTCTTGCACTCTTTTTCTATGTATCCCATATGCTTGCACTTGTAGCAATACATGCCACTGCTCTTCACAAATTGAGTCTTGTGAGAGACATAGGCTCTGTTCGGTTGCTCGTAAAGCCGCTTATGCTGATTTGTACGATTGATTTATTGGGAGAGAGAAATATTATACCATGGCTTATAAGCCGGCTTATAATGGCAGCAGAACACTTCCATAGGCATTCTTGTCTCTTAGGGATATACCCAAGACCTTCCTTGTTAAGGGGAAATCTTTGGCTCCCTAGACACTTAAGCAAGAGTGCCTCACTGCCATAGGCCTTGCCTAATGTGCGGGTGAGGTGGTGAGCTCATCAACCACCTTATTAGTGTCTCATTCTCAACATCACCCTTCATGCTAAAACCGATTTGGATTTTTAGCGCTGCATGCAAGCTATTTTTGTAATTCCAACAATTTTCCGTAGTTGCAGCGCCAGAACTGAGGAGAGTGAAAGCACATTTGAAGACTTGCGTTATCGTTGGCAAGTGCTAGCGCGCGAACGTTCGGGCGGACACCCGCATCTGGACGCCAGCTTGAACTTCATTTCCCGCGTGCCTGCGCATGTGCTCACGCCTGCATTTCGCACGCCCACACGGGGCCCGTGTCGTCGCCAGACCACGCGCGAGGACCGCTCACGCCCCCTCCACTTCTCACGCGCATTGCAACATGTGCAACACCCGATCTACTTTTAAAACATTCAGATTGCAACACTTGTAACATACGTCTGAAGACAAATGAAACACTTGAGACATGTGTCTGAAACACTTGCAAAGACACTTGAAAAACACTTAAACCCATTGCAAACATACGCAACATCTAGATAAAACACTTGCAACATATGTGTGAAACATATGAAACATCTAGATAAACACACTTGCAACATGTGTATGAAAAAGCAGATGAAACATTGGGAACATAAGCTTGCAACATCTGTGTACAACCATTGCAACATATGCAACATCCCGATCTACTTTTGCAACATCCATATGTGACACTTGTAACATGCCTATGAAACATCTGAAACACTTGAAAACATACTCCTGCAACATACATTTTTGACCCCTTCTTCCGGACGACGTAGAGCAGAGTGGGGAACGGTCGGTTCTAGCCAGCCGACGATCGAGGATGGTCCTATGCCTGTGCCTGGCCTGGGCCCAGCCAGCGACACACCCCTTCTCCTGGCCGCCTGTCCACACACGGCCACCGGTGCTTGGAAATGGAGATGGAGGATGTGGTGGAGATGGAGGATGCAGAGGAAGGAAGGTAGCCGCCAGCGCTCGGATGCGGTGGAGATAGAGGATGGAGGTCGCACGATCGGGCAGGCGTGGTAGAGAACGTCGCTGCGAGGCGGTCGCATGGTGGGGGACGGGGGCGAGTGGATGAGCACCCACGCTGCGATGGGCGGATGAGCGGAGTGGGGATTTTTAGAGATGGGGGCCGCTCCTATGCAGGTCTGGGAGCCGCGTTCGGACGGGAGTGATGGGATGGACGCCCGTGGCATATCATTATTCACCGTGTGCGCGCGTCGGTTAGCACCGTGAATATATCAGAACGGCAGCCGCGTGCCTATCCCTGCTCCCTCCGATGGCGGCCGGGTGGATCCGGACTCCACGACGGCAGCCGCGCGCCTCCACCGACCTCCATCGGCCCCGCCCCTGTGCCGGGCCCTGGCGTTGGTCGCTCCTCCCTCTCTCTCTGCAGTGTTTTGCGTCGTCGAGAACGACGACGCTTTTTTGCCTTCCGAGTCCGTTGCTACGCAAAATGACTGCCGTATTTGCGTTCTCCATTGGACCGTGATTTTAGGACCCAAAACACTGTGCGCTCGGCATTTTGCGTTTGGGTGGCCGTTTATCTAAGCTGTTGGAGACAGTTTGACGCCGAATCTTAAACCGCCTGTCAGTCGGCTCCGTAACCACGCGCGCACGACGAAAAGTGGGCATGCTACACCTTCTCCACCTCCCGGTAGCCCACGCCCGGCCGCCTCCTGCCGTCGACGCCCACGGCAACGCAGCCCACGGGCGCGGTGGTGGTGCCGCTGCACAACGCGACGGCGCGCTGGCGCTGCTTCCCTCTGCCGCCGGTCACGGGCGCGGTGGTGCCGCTGCATATCAACATGGCGCGCCGCCCTCTGCCGCTTACGGGAGCGGCGGCGGCCAAGGGCACGGTGCCGCTGCAGATCGCGACGGCGTGCCGCCCCAGCAGCCGAACCCCGCGGCGGCGGCAGCGGCGACGGCGACGGCGACGGGCTGACTCTGTTGGCGCTCGTCGCCTTCTTCGCGCTGCTCACGCGATGGTGGTGGAGGTGGCCGCCGACGTTGTTGTGGTTCAGGACGAGCCGCTGCAGCTCCCGCCGGATGCACTCCACCTCGTACGCGTCGAGGAGCGTCGTCGGCTTCTTCTTTGCCTCTGCCGCAGCGGCTTGCCGGGGAGGTGCAGCTGCCGATTGCTCCATGAAGAGGATTGAGCGAGATAGAAAGGAACCGGGCTCCCTCTGGACTCTGGTCTCGTGGGTGGGTGCGTACTGCCACCACGGACGGCACCACGTATAAAAAGGAGGCGGCCTGACACTGACAGGGTGGGCACGTCATAATCTTGAGATTGCATACCTTACTAGTTTACTACACAAGTAGCAGTGGCCAGTGGAGTTGGTTCGTAAATCTGGCAGACCAGCTCGATTAGTCCGGCGACAGAACCTACGCAGCAGTTAGTATACGAACTACCACCATGCATTTGGTACACGACGTACGTGTAACAAGCTTAGCGGATCATAAAGCCAACCTAAATTTTACCCACACAAATTTGGTAACTACTCCCTGCATGTTGGTAAAAAAGTCGTTTTGGACAGCGACACGGCCTCCAAAATATAACTTTGAATTCTTATTTTTATAAAAATATTTATTGAAAAGTGATATATGATATTTTTATGAATGTATTTTTCAAGACAAATCTATTCACGTGGTTTTTATATTTTCAAACTCAACAACTTAAAAGTTATTCATGATCTATATTCCCAATGTTTGACCCAAACCTCGTCTAAAACGACTTCTTTTACCGACCTAGAGAGAGTACGATTTTAGCCACTAAAATGCACTGAGGTGGCCAAATAAAACAGTTGCCAACACAAAATTTGATGCCCAACTAAATAGAGGTTCTTTTTTTAGTAAAACTAGCTAAAATTTATCTTAACATTTTTAGAGCAAAGATAGAAAACGAGAATGACTCTCTAGAGTACAAACAAGATATACAAAAACGAGAATGACTCTCTACAGTACAAACAAGATATAGAAAAGCTGTTGGAGAGCGAAAAGAATAGAAAGCGATGTATGCAAATAGCTTTCTAAATAATAATTTAGAGAGTGAGATTTAGAAAGACTCTTGGAGATGCTCTTATGGCCTGTTTGGATACATGGGATGAACAACTAGCTAACTAAATTTTTTTATCTCTACGGATCAAAATAGGTGGTCTAATGGATGAACTAATTTTTAGCTAAAAT